TATCTTACTAATGATGACATTTTTAGGACCAGAAACTAAAGAAGTTATGAAAACAACAATTATACTCAAAACAAACAACCTTTTAAACTTTAAAAAATGTATTCTATTTTGTACTTCTGTACTGTGTGATGTTTTTAATCTTGGCGTCCTTGGGTTTCACTTTATGGACTTTCCCTTTTACACTTATTTATCTCAGCATCTATTCTACTAATTTAAAATAATTGCAGCATTTTTCAAATGAAGTCAATATGAATTGGAGCACATTTTAGAGCCAGTCTCCTCTGCTGTGTGCATCAGCAGGAGGAGGAAGGTCAGGTGCATAGTCAAAACAAAAAAGTCACAGCTTGAATGTGAATTGGGTAGTTTTCAATTTAATAATATAATACTTTTACAGCTAATCCTAATTCCCTCTTTCTTTTTTAGACAAAGTCTATAATCAATAATCACTTTTAACACAGATTCTAATTTAAATGTTTGAAAAACGGCTTTTGTAACTAAAATAAAAACATAAAAACAAACACAACTCACAAAAAGTTAAGAAATAAGCAGCAGCTTTAAAAAGAAAAGCAAAGCTTTAGCACTAATATTTGGATTTCAAAAACATACTAATTCAAAACTTCTATTCCCTAATGGTGTTTAAAAACGTTTAACTGTGTCATAACACAATGTTCAAATGGCAAATTTCGCAAATTAAAAAACTTAATAAAAGCCAAAATCCTAAAAGCAGGTTTGTTTTGATTCAGAGCCAGAGCAGCGAAGGAGGGGGCTGTTTCCCTGACAACGGCAGCAAGATAGAGCTGTGCACACGCACAGGCAGAAAGTAGTGTTTTAGCAAAAATGCAAAAACAGAAAGAAGAATAACTTTCAAGATAACTTTTTTAAGCTAATATAACTGATGTTGTAGTTTACACTTTTGTCATCCAAGTCTAGAAATGGCCAATTTCCACACTTGTAACAAAAGGCACTCTTTAGTGTTTAACATTTCCCTTTTTATTATAACTTTAAATTTTACACCATGGTTTCACTAACTATTTTCTATTCTCTATTCTCTTCCCCGGCTACTCCAAAGGCAGGGACCCCGATACATCAGGGGTTCCTTTTTCTCTCTGCCCTGACTACTTCAAAGGACAGGGACCCCGATACGTCAGGGGTTCCTTTTTCTCTCTGCCCTGACTACTTCAAAGGACAGGGACCCCGATACGTCAGGGGTTCCTTTTTCCTATAGGGACTGGTTACCCACACAGCTAACCTGTTTTCTACAACATAAGACATGACAAAGACATGACAAAGACAAAACAAAGAAAATTTGATTTAGAGAGATTTGGACAGAACTCCGGGACAGCTCAAAATTTAGCTAGTATCCAATTATGCAGACTTTACATATTAAAAAAGGTGTCTGCTTTCCTTATTTTCTTTGTCCGGACTGTTCGAGAGGTCGACCAACATCTTTTCGGCGTCGAAAAATTCAATTTAAAAAACAAAAGTGACAGAAGCGACAAGAAGCATCCAGGAACAGCTCTTCCAGTCTGCTGGAATCTCTGCTCCCAGACACAGCATGCCGGTCTCTCACGCAGAGGAAAAGAAACAAAGAAAACTCCCTCAAAACAATCCAGAGAATGGCACACACTGAGCCGCGCATTCTCCACCAAATCTGTTAGGATTCAGCAGACAGAGACGGATCGTGGTGCGCCAAACTCTGGAAGTTTATTTAAGTTTCTCTCAAGTTCCACTGGTTTACTTTGTTTCTTTCTCTCAGACAGAATAAAGGCAGTACACAGTTATATAGTCATTGTCACGTCACACATCGAAAGACATACGTGTCACAAAGAGACAGTCAAATCATAGTCATAACATGGAGTCCTTGTACAGTCCTTGTACAGTCCTTGTACAGTCCTGCACGTAGGCCATATTGCTATCTAATACTAACACATGTTACATATAGCTACCATTAATTAGGAATTCTAAAATGCACAGGAGTAGTAGATCATATGGCAAACATTTGCATTAACTTGCATATAAGGCATTTTAAGCGTCCCGCACATCCGCACGGCTCATTCACTCAGCGGTTTTTCGTATTAGATCAAGTGTTTTCTCCAGCGCCTGTGTGGCGTAGCAGGATTGTCCAAGACTTTTGCTTGGACGGTCGGGGTTCGAGCCCCGTCCAATCCTCAAATTTTATTAGCGGGGGGAGTATATGAATCAGATTACTCCGTTACTGAATAAAGTTGCATTTTTTTCCTGCAGTTTGGTTGGTGCAGATTGTGAAGTTTACAACAGTTTACTACAGTCTAGCAACTATTTTAAATGTGTTGGCCTAATTACTAAGTATTTTTTATTTAAAGGAGCAATATGTAAAAATCTGGCCAAAAGTGGTACTGCAGTCACAGTCAATATTTTGTAGTCCTCTCCCACTCTCCCTGACTCAGGTTGCCAGATTCACACCAAATCCAGCAGCAAACACAGGGAATTATTTTATCAGTTGTTTGTCCGTCTCCATTCACATTGCCATGACAGCCGTGCTAATGCTGAATGAATGTTTTGATTCATGTTTTTTTATTATTATAATTTGGACATTTGAGATAAAAAACAAAAACAAAATAAAAGCAATGTAATTATACATAGTTTATGCAAAATAAATAAGAAATTGATGTCCAAAATAGGAGTGGGAAGAATGGATGTTGGAACGTATTTCTTCAGCGTATCAACATCAGGGTTTGCTCAAGAGGATATCACCTTTCAATTTTATTTATTCCCTATTTTTTAGACAAACATGTAAAAGTCCCACATCAAAAAGAGACTAACATTATTTTAATTGGGGTACATGTGGTCTTAAATGATTATTTTTACAATTAAGCTATAATCTGCAAAAAAAAACGTCTTGACCTTCATCTTTTACCGTTTTTAGAGCAATCTGTCATAGAATGTGATCACATGCAATAAATACAAAAAGACATAGCCCGGAATCGAACCCGGGTTCCTGCATCGTAAGCGCGCAGTTTAGACCGCTAGGCCACCGGTTCACACAAATAAAGACACTGTGAAGAACGGAATCAAACTAGAAAATTCTGCATCACACGTAAACTTTTATCAGCTGTCTCAATTGTTCAAAGGCATCCCGATATAAATCCTCGTTTTAGTCTTTGTTTTGTCATTAATTATTTGAGAGTTATAACAAGACCTTTTTTAGTTCTACGCCACATGTTATTTTACCACAGAGATTAGTGAGCCGCACGGAGTTCTGGCAACTCGATCACTGACTTACATGACACTTCCTGATTGGCGAAACGGCGGAGGGTAGGACATCAAAATCAAAACAATAACAACTTTTACGGGTCGTAAAACTAATTTTGATGATCAAATATCTCGGCTGAACTACTGTTATCAGTTAAAGATGAATTCGAAAAGAGTATGATTTAATAACGCCTTTTGAAATATTCGGGTCATTTAATGATGACTTGACATGCAAATATTACATATTGCTCCTTTAACACTGGAGAAAACGTGCTCGGTTTTTGCTCGCCTGAGTGATAGGCTATGTGAAGATGTTTTGCATATGTGAAGATGAACTGGATTTTCGACATTCCTGTGGACTCGAGCCCTGGTCAATCTAGTTTAATACAGTTCAGAAACTAAACAGACATTCATCAGCCAACTCCATTATATTTGTAAAACACGGAGAAAGAAAGTTTTCCCCCATCATAAATTTGTATTAGCAATTAGAGTTTCGCTTTTCAGCCCGAGCCCGAGCTGGCCCGAGCCCGACCCGAACTCGGGTCTCATTTCCTCGCTCAGCTGTCGGGCCGTGCCGGGCTCGGGCTCCTTTTTTTTTTTTTTTTTTTTTATGTTTTTCATACATCAATGTAAAAAACATATGTATGCATAATTGCATATTGACATTGTCAATATGCAATTATGCATACATGTTTATAAATAATAATGTCCGTTGATTGACAAAAAGTTATAAATAAGTTAATATATTAATAACTCCGTAACAGGCGACAGCGTGTCCTACAGTAGCAAAAAGCCGTGAACGCGCATCAGAGTCAGCGGCCCTATTTTTTCCTGTTGAATGCTAATGCTATGGTCAAGACTGAGCACACGGAACATTTTTAAAAATGGATAGATTGGAGGTTCAAAAGAAAATAAAAAGTCGAGAGCTGAGCTTGCATCTGGAAGGTGAGCCTGTACACGTAGGGAAATCAGATGTTTGGCAACATTTCCACTTTGTGGTTGACAAAGACAAAGTTAGCGTGGGCTTTGTGCAATGTCGCCATTGCCACGCTTTGTTGGCATTTGAAACCAAGAAGACGGGGACATCATCGCTTATTTGCCACACCAAAGCTTGCCAGCAGAAACGTCAAGACGAGGCCACAAAAAGCCAGCAGCAGACCCCTATGACATCTTTCATTACCGTGCCAAAGGTACCGCAGCGACTAAAACAGGCAATCACGGACAAATGTGTGGACTTCTGCACCAGAGATCTAAGGCCATTTTATACCGTCAGTGGGGAGGGATTCCAGGCACTTGCTCAGGAACTTATAAATATTGGCGCTAGTTACGGATATATAATAGCAGCCTCCTCAGTGTTGCCACACCACGGTACAATATCCAAAGCATGTTCGGAAAAAGCGGAGATGAAAAGAGAACAACTTGTAAGTGAGCTGAAACAAACACTGGCGAGCGGGGACATTGGGATGAGCACAGACATGTGGACGGACGATTATAGGAAGATGAGCTACTTTGCCATAACCTGCCATTTCATAAATAGTGACTTTCTGTTGGTAGGGAAAACTCTAACCACAGCTGTATTTCCAGCTGAGGATGCAAAAACGGGGAAGAATATCAGAAGGGAGCTACTGCGCTTGCTCATAAACAAATTTGGCCTGGAACTCAGCTCCCTGAAAAATATTGTTTGGGTGACAGATCAGGGAAGCAACATCATTAAAGCATTGGAGCCATATAGAAGGCTTTCCTGTCTGGATCACCTCTTGAACACAGTCATGCGCCACGGACTGGATGCGAACAACCTCACGCAAAACGTTCCAGACATCAGCGAGACAATAACGGCGGCCAAAAGTCTAGTCAGACACGTGAAACAATCTGGATTGGCTGCACAGCTCTCAAAGACTGTTCTGCAAATGGCTGAGACCAGATTCAGCACGGTATATCTTACCCTCAAGTCAGTGCTGGATGTGTTCCCGGAGTTGAGCGAAAAACTCCATGCACGCGGAGAACAAGAGCGCATAGACAATATTGTCCCAGACACGTTGAATTTTTTATTATGTTTTTTGGAACCATTTTATTGCGCACAGAGGGAACTTGAAGGGGACAAATATCCCACTTTAAACCTTGTTTGCCTGTGGGTTGAGAAGCTGAAGCGTCACTGCCTGATGTCTCCCACAGACTCCGACAGCAGGCATTTGTGCGCAAGAATCATGCAGAAATGTTGGAACGAAAAGTCGAACTGCACATTTTTCATAAAGTGGCACTTTTCCTTCGGCCTAAATTTAATAAACTTAAAATGATGTCCCCTGCTGACGTCTTCACTGTTCATGCCCATGTCTGCACATTACTCCAATCATTGGGAGGAGTCGGGGAATCCAGCGCTGCTGCTGACAGTGAAGCAAGTTCCAGCTCCTCACAACAAGCACCTGCACCAAAAAGAAGCCGATTGTCCGACTTTGCAGAGTGGGAAATTGACGCTGACAGTGTGACATCCGATCAGGATGAGGTGTCCCTCTACATCACTCAAAAGCATGCAATGGCAGATGACAGAGACTTACTGGGCTGGTGGAAGATCAACTCCAATGTGTACCCTAAACAATCCAAACTGGCAAAATCGGTGCTCTGCATCCCTGCGAGCAGCAGCAGCAGTGAGCGGGTTTTCAGCGCAGCGGGCCGCACCATCAGTGAACGCAGGACAGCTTTTAAACCCTCTACGGTGGATGCTATACTTTTTCTTCATGACGCGATGTAGAAAGGACCACGTAAGTACGCCGTAAGATGTACAATTATTTTAGTTTATGTGTGGAGGACTGACCAAATATTTATATATTTATACGCAGATAACTGTGCTGCTGAGGCAAGTCGCAATGTCTGTTTCCTCCCTAATATTCTATTGTTTTTTTCATCCATGCCCATCTATTTGATTATTTTAAATATCTATATATATATATAGATATATATTTATTAGTTTTATGTTAGTAATACGGACAAGTTTTCCTCTTTTCCAATACACGCCTTGTCACTATATTGAAGTTGGAACATATTTTGTTGTTGAAAATATTACACCATATTTAATAGGCTAGGTAGCATTTTAGTTTTGTGTGTTTGTTGTAATATATTTATATGCTACTTTGTTTTAAGTTCAATATTGGTTTGTTCCTTCTACATTTTAATAAAATACTCGTAATGTAATCATCTCCTTGCTGTTTTTTTTCTAAATATTTGCATTTAATACCCTTTGCAATTTTATATATATTTATTTGTATATATGTCGGGCTTCTGTCGGGCTCGGGCCTATTATACAGCGTTCATTGGTCGGGCTTATCCGGGCTCGGGCTTAGTATTAGCGGGCTCGGGCCGGGTCGGGCTTGATTTTTTAGGCCCGAACGAAACTCTATTAGCAATATTGTGAGAATGTGTTTTATGTTTAAAAGTGTCGCTACTGAATGCTAAAGTTTAAAGGATTGACTCTGTAAAACACTGTACTAACTTACTGCACTGTATTGTAAGTACTGTAACAATACAATTGCATTTTACTTTATTACTTCTTATTTTTTAATAAAAACACTTCTTCTCAAAAGTTCCTTTCTGACTTCTTCTACAGTATGGGATAGCCAGCAGCAAGTGCGTTATTGAACATGAAACATTGGAACAAAACAAACACGAGTGTACACTGTATTCAGAATACTTTTACTTTGATTAGCAATAAAAAAATTTAAACTACACATGTTACATATAGCTACCATTAATTAGGAATTCTAAAATGCACAGGAGTAGCAGATCATATGGCAAACATTTGCATTAACTTGCATATAAGGCATTTTAAGCGTCCCGCACATCCGCACGGCTCATTCACTCAGCGCTCTTTCGTATTAGATCCTGGGTTTTCTCCAGCCCCTGTGTGTCACACGTGAGTCTCGTGTGATTCACGCGTGAAAGGCGACAAAACGAAATGGGACCTACTGTACTCCCCCAGCACTTCAGCCTTGTCTGAGGCATAACCTCCTCTCACTCGCACCAGAGTGAGGGCGTTCTCCCTCACCACCTCCTCCCTCAGAGGAGCACCGCACTCCCTCATGGACGGGTCGTCCCTGATCTTCCTCGCCTCCTCCGAAGGGTCCTGCAGCAGGAATCCACGTGGGCCCTTGCGAAAAATCACAGTGACGCGGCCAGGAAAGAATGAAAATGTCTTCATATTGTCTGCAACAACAAAAAAAGATCATAAAATATCTAGCTATAGCATGATAGAGAAGTATGTATAATGTATATATCTTTAGCATAATAAAGAATAAAATAATTAAATTTAGCATTATAAGAAGCATGAATCCTGTATAATCTAGAGAAGACATATACAGTTGTATGTTTACATCTGGACATCAGCAGCATGAGGCTCTGGGATACAGTAAGTACAGTTATAGAAGGAAAATATGAACTGGTAAAACACTAATACATTGTCGTAAACTAACTGCATATATTTCATCTTCAACTCAATGTGTTGCTGAACTATAGAAATGTGAAATACATATAGATAGTACACACATCAACAATAATTAGCTAATAATAATTAGCTAGTGCTGGAAATACTACTACAACCAGACGTAAACAAACTGCATTACTGTATACAGTAGAATACAGTGAATACAGATTGTTTGACAACGCAGAGAAAGTGTTTTCTTTACAATATTGATCCAAACAGAGAGATCTACGAGCAGAAGCAGCAGCAGCTGTCACGATCCGGTCCGGTCCGCTCCACATTTTCCCCCTTTCCTGGTCCTCCTGCCTCTGCCACTCTACTCACCTGGGTCTCATCATGCCATTAACTGCAGTACAAGAGGAGCAGCGCTGCAGCCACTCCTCGCCAGTTTGTTTGTCTACTTACACTTGTCAGTAGTACCTTTTGGCTATATTTTTCAAGCCCCATTTTTGGCTCTTAATAGTGATGGCAATATGAAGCCCCATGAAGCCTTGAGGGATAGCAGCCTATTACTCGGCCCATGAGTCGAAGGCTCAAGGTGAATCATGCTCCACTACGCCATCATGTGGACAAAGAAATACATAACACTCAAGTGCTTACAATGAATGGTGAGATCTAATGTTAAAATGTATATTTACAATCTATGGTCTAACGCAGTGGTTCTTAACCTTGTTGGAGGTACCGAACCCCACCAGTTTTATATACGCATTCACCGAACCCCTCTTTAGTGAAATACAACATTTTCAAATTCAAGACAGATATGATTTTTCCTGGTGCACAAAATGAGCAGTGCATTAACATTGTGTTCAAAGAACAAAACCAACACAATGCATGAACTCATCATAACAAATAACGTACCTGCAAATCAGTGTGACTTCTGCTGTTGCCTTTGAGAGACCAGTTGAGATATGCGTGGCTTCACCTTGGAAAGTGCCACTCTCATGTCATTTTCACAGCAAAGTCTGTTCCTTTTTTTCGTTTTTATGTCCAGCAACTTCGAAAAGGACTGCTCGCAAAGATATGTTGTAACAAATGGAATAAAAAAATCCAGGGCTTTCTTAGCAATAACTGGATACTTGTCCATTGGATGACACCAAAACGTTGAGAGCGTTGTTGTTCTGAAAAGTTGCTGTCAAACCTGGCTCTGCTGAATGTCAATGATTTCGTCAAGGTATTCATCAATGACATCTTCTGTCTCAACATCAGACGTAAACGGCTGTCTTACCCATGCTGGATATGACTCTCTTATAGGGAAATATCCGTCAATAGACTTTGCAAGCTAATCTAAGTGCGTGGCAATTGTTTGCTTCAGTTCCGTGGATACACACATCTCCAATGCCAGACGATCTTACTTAAACAGTCATCCAGAAGGGGGAAGTTTGTAAAGTTATTGTTCTCTGTTCGTCGTTTCCACAACGGTAGCTTTTTTTGAAAAGCCTTCAAATGTTCTTCCGCTTCTATGATATTGACTCCGCCACCCTGCATGTGCTGATTGAGATGATTGAGAGCGGCGAATATATCAGCCATGTACGCAATTCAGCACCTGTCCCCGGGATACAGTGCCTTGCGAAAGTATTCGGCCCCCTTGAACCTTTCAACATTTCGCCACATTTGCAGTCTTCAAACATAAAGATATACAATTTTAATTTTTTGTCATGAATCAACAACAAGTGGGACACAATCGTGAAGTGGAACGAAATTTATTGGATAATTTAAACTTTTTTAACAAATAAAAAACTGAAAAGTGGGGCGTGCAAAAAGATTTCCCAAGCTTTAAACATCTCAAGGAGCACTGTGCAAGCAATTATATTGAAATGGAAGGAGTATCAGACCACTGCAAATCTACCAAGACCCGGCCGTCCCTCCAAACTTTCATCTCAAACAAGGAGAAGACTGATCAGAGATGCAGGCAAGAGGCCCATGATCGCTCTGGATGAACTGCAGATAACTACAGCTGAGGTGGGAGAGTCTGTCCATAGGACAACAATCAGACGTGCACTGCACAAATCTGGCCTTTATGGAAGAGTGGCCATTTCTCAAAGACATCCATAAAAAGTCTCGTTTAAAGTTTGCCACAAGCCACCTGGGAGACATACCAAACATGTGGAAGAAGGTGCACTGGTCAGATGAAACCAAAATCAAACTTTTTGGCCACAATGCAAAACGATATGTTTGGCGTAAAAGCAACACAGCTCATCACCCTGAACACACCATCCCCACCTCAGAGTAGTAGATTTGCAGTGGTCTGATACTCCTTCCATCTCAATATAATTGCTTGCACAGTGCTCCTTGAGATGTTTAAAGCTTGGGAAATCTTTTTGTATCCAAATCCGGCTTTAAACTTCTCCACAACAGTATCTCGGACCTGCCTGGTGTGTTCCTTTGTCTTCATGGTTCTCTCTGCGCTTTAAACAGAACCCTGAGACTATCAAAGAGCAGGTGCATTTATACGGAGACTTGATTACACACAGGTGCATTCTATTTATCATCATCAGTCATTTAGGACAACATTGGATCATTCAAAGATCCTCACTGAACTTCTGGAGTGAGTTTGCTGCACTGAAAGTAAAGGGGCCGAATAATATTGCATGCCCCACTTTTTAGTTTTTTATTTGTTAAAAAAGTTTAAATTATCCAACAAATGTCATTCCACTTCACGATTGTGTCCCACTTGTTGTTGATTCATGACAAAAAATATTTTTTTTATATCTTTATGCTTGAAGCCTGAAATGTGGCGAATTGTTGAAAGGTTCAAGGGGGCCGAATACTTTCGCTAGGCATTGTAACCATCGAACATTAGAATGATAGAGAAGTACCTCGAAGTCAGAGCCCATTTCTTTACACAGCTCACTGAAGATGCGGTGCCTCAGAGCACTACTTCGGACATAGTTAACACATTCCACCACAGCTTTTAATACATCTGCCATTTTTGGAGGCAATGTTTTTTTTGCCAATGCATGCCTGTGCAGAATACAATGTGTCACAATGATGTGTGGTGCATCGGCTTTTACGAGCGCACCAAAACCAGACTTTCTTCCCAGCATGACTGGAGCTCCGTCCATACAAACAGCAGAAACCATATCCCATGAAAGATTGTTGTCTTAGAAGAAGTCATCCACAAGCTTCTTCACATCGACTGCCTTAGTTGTTGTTGTAAGAGGCTTACAAAATAAAAATTCTTCATTTATCATGTTGTCTTTCACATAGCACACGAAAACAGCAAGCTGGCTTAGATTTGAAACTTCTGTGGTCTCGTCGAGTTGAAAGGCTGAATTTTG